TATTCACTTCACATCTTCATTAATGCGTGCAAATCTAAATCCAGTAATACCTTATCCATACCGTATACGAGCAGTTCTTTAGTTACGCACAAATGTTCACTTGGTGCACCGTTTGAAGCAACCAATATATTCGATTTTATATCACCTTGCATTGTTGATACCACATCGATCACGCTATCGTAATAATTTTTATATTCCATACACTTTAATACTTCTACCCTACTCGAAACTAAATCGCTAAGTTTCCACAATTCGTGTAACGAGTCGTAAGCCAGGTAAAATATTTCTGACCCCCTTTCCATTTTCAACACTTTTCGTACATTTTCTATCCATTGGCTGCTGCAGGTCACGCCGCTTACAACGAAATGTGGTGGTGTCGATAAATCACCAACAAAACTATTCATAATCAATTGTCTGCTATTAATCACATTTTTCCATTCGTCTTCGGTAAAAGTTATGCATTGTCCTTTTCCCATTAATCTTATAACCGGATCAAAATGTAGATTGGCAGACATGCCAACCGATATCCATTTCGTTCGACTTTTATTTAAATAATATGTACTCTCGGAGAATAATGGCGCTTGATTACCTTTTTGGAGATTATTTTTCACTGCTTCATTTAATACTACGTTACTTGTGAAAGGTAACTTTCCACAATTTTCTACATAATGTTGTTGATTGCTAGGAAATACGTACTCCGCTAAGTCGGAAGCCAACAAATTAATTCCATCGAATACCACATCCTTTTTTCTTTGATTATCACTTCCTAGCGACACATTTGTTGCAGTTGTCTCATTACAATTACCCTCCATTTTGATGTTTCGGGCAGGTTTTTTATTTTCACCCTTTTCAAATGAATTTACAGCAGCTCTCTTAGTTGGACATTTGGGGTTCGGTCTGGTTGCCACTAAACATCAATATTATTGTTTACATTAGTACATTATCTACTTGTATTACATTTGAATTACTTACTCGTTACGTTAAAAATCCTCTGTACTAAATGCACCAAAAATCTACACGATATTTTTAATATGTACTAAATACACAAAAACCTTACTCTGAAGCACAACACTCTGCGGTACAACTTCGACCAACGTTTGTATTTATAGCAATACATAAGGTTGCTGGTGGGGGGAGTAATATTTCACATCATTACCGAATATATCTATTATACATGTTCTAACACGTCATTATATCGTGAGACGTCAGACAAAACGCATGACAAATTTATTAAGAAGCTCTTAAAAAATATCTCGCAGGTGGATCATGACTCATCTACTAACAAGTTAGTTGACCTCCTCCTCAAACCTGTCCTCCCAAAAAATTTGCCGATTCAAGAACCTCCTCGCATATTCTTAAATACCCGTACACCTTTACATAATAAAATAAAAAATATCTCGCAGGTAAGTTATGACTCACTTATTTGTATACCTACATGTCTCAAAACCGTATACCTTTGTGTATAATAATAAATTAAGAGATATATCGAAAACATTAACAGTTCATTGAGAAGCGTCGAAGGATAAACATAGTAATTGTTTTCATCTAGGTAAACAGGTTACATATAAAGATAAATTTTTAATAACATAACCTAAATAAAGATACATTTTTAATAAAGATAAATTTTTAATAATTTCGTCAAAATAACATGACCTTCTCAAGTTAATTGACCTCCTCCTCTCTTCATCGAATCTCCTCCGACCCTCAAAAGAATCGCCGATTCAAGAACCTCCTCTCCTCATCGAACCTCCTCTGACCCCCAAAAAATTTGCCGATTCAAGAACCTCCTCCTAGAACGCAGGTTCGAGGAGGAGGTTCTTGAATCGGCGAATCTATACTACTGCCATCAATAATTAATTTAGCTGATTCGTAATCGGGAAAGTATCCATTATATTTTAAGAAATCTTTAAATTTTTGATTATTTTCAAAGTCATCATCACTACCAACGTACAGAATATCACCCTTTTGATTAACTCTCCATATATTATTATCAAATTCACAAAACTGTACAAATTGCGAATCGGCCATTTTATCACCGTCGATGTCTTCTATTCCTAGAAGTACGAAATCAAGCTGGACAATTTCCTCTGGGAAATTTGTGTTTAAGCACTGCTGCAAATGAAGACGGAAGTCAGTCCAAGACATTATGATGGTGATGTGAACACTTCAATTTTTAATAGTCAACTGAAGTAAATATGATTTAAATTTACAATTAAATAATAAACTAAGAAAGATTTAAAACATATTTTAGTACAAGGTTATTTACATATTTTAAAGTTAGCATTAACGTAATTTAAAATAAAGTTGTTATTTAATACAAATAATAATATATTATGTATTTTATTTTCTTGAATTTACGTCACACTTCGATTTATGTAATAGAAAATGCAAATCGAAATTTAAAATGCATTTTTATTGCAAGGTTATTGCGACGTAGAGACACGAAAATCAAATTAAAACGCAAATTACATTGGTTTGTGGTTGATGATAAGCGTTATATTAAACCATTTATTTTACGTTTTAATTTGATTCTCGTGACTCTACGTCAGACATTGATTTATGTATTTAACTAACATAAAGTTATATCATCAACCACAAACCAATGTAATTTGCGTTTTAATTTGATATTCGTGACTCTACGTCGCACATTGATGTATTTTGTACATTTTTATTACAAGGTTATTAGCATATTTTAAAGTTTTTTATGTAAGTTAGCGTTATATTAAACCAATTTAATTTGCGTTTTAATTTGATTTATTTTTTTAAGTTGCTTATGTAAGTCAACGTTATTTACATTTTAGCATAAGTATTTATAACTGAGTAAGTATGTGTTTCGAAGTTTAGTTACGTTACAATGGCTTTATTCAAGCCATCTTCCTTGGCGGATTTAGCTATGGAAAAAATTAATTTAAGAATAAAAACCCGTGTAGATGTATTAGGGCTGTATGAAGAATTACCATGGGTTTTTGTTTTAAAGTTATGGGACACGTGGTTCGATACAAATTGGTGTGAATTGGGCGCGCATGAAGAGTGTCTTGAAAATGTAAATTTATGGTGCATTGAATTGGAAACATTTAAGTATAGATTACCACACAAAATTCAATGTGCCCTATTGAGGGATCCAGAATTATACGGGTAAATTAAAAAAAAAAATAAATAAACAAATAAAGTGTGATGTAATTTTAATAAAACTTTAGGGAGGATTTTTTCTTCCAAATGCATGGTCATAATGAAAATGGGGAATTATGTGTATGGGTTATATACATCGAAACAGTATATGGACGTGTATGTGAAGAGTGTTTTGAGGATTATAAGGATCTTATTAGATGGGAAAGACGCTTTTTCCAAAATAAAGAATTTAAATACCTTGAAAAAGATGTATGAATGCATCATAAAACAATTAGCAAATTTCAATTTAAAGATTTAGTAGAAATGGAAGATATGTGGTGCGCGTTTAGACTATTGAGTGATGAGAATATAACTTCATACGAAGTATTGGATGGACGGTATCCCATAGTATATAAAGAGGATAAAAATACACTTTTTATTTTAAAAATGACATCGCTATTGCCAATACCACTTGATGTTATTGAAGTAATAGCTACCATTTGTTCCTGGGCGTCTAATAATGTAAGTAATATTTTATTGATCATTATTCTTTCCGAATTGTAATAATAATACATGGTGTCCTTTCAATTTACAGCCCTCCGTATTTGTAACGACGGCTGAGGACTTAGAGGATATCATC